CAGCCTGTGAGGTGGGTTGGACTGAGAGAGAGAGGGATTGGCCCAAAGTCACCCAAATAGCTTTCATGCCTAAGGTTTCCAGTCTTTCAGAAAACAGAATAGAATAACAAAAGTTGGAAGGGACCTTGGAGGTCTTCTAGTCCAACCTCCTGCTTAGGCAGGGTATCCTATCAAACAAATGGTTGTCCAAACTCTCCTGAAAAATTACCAGTGTTGGAACATTTTACAACTTCTGGTGGCAAGTTGTTCCATTGATTAATTGTTCTCATTGTCAGACAATTCCTCCTTAGTTCTAAGTTGCTTCTCTCCTTAATTAGTTTCCACCCATTGCTTCTTGTCCTGCCTTCAGGTGCTTTGGAGAATAGCATGACTCCCTCTTTTTTGTGGTGATGCCTGAGATATCGGAAGACTGCTATCCTGTCTCCCCTGGTCCTTCTTTTCATTAAACTAGACCTACCCAGTTCCTGCAACCGTTCTTCATATGTTTTAGCCTCTAGTCACCTTATCCTCTTGGTTGCTCTTCTCTGCACTCTTTCTAGACTCTCAACATCTGTTTCTACATCATGGAGACCAAAACTGGATGCCGTATTCCAAGTGTGGCCTTATAAAGTGGTATTAACACTTTACGGGATCTTGATTCCATCCCTCTGTTGATGCAGCCTAGAACTCCTACAGTACCTGAGAATCCAGGAATTTCTGAGCCAGCTTCGCATCTTCCATGGAACAATTTGCAGAGAAGTAGGTGGAAACCCCCTAAAGACAAGGAAGAAAGGGGACAGGTACCGTGATAGTTCGAGGCGTGGATGTCGGAGATCCCAAATGGCCAATCCCTCCCCCACCCCACCCCTAGAAATGGGGCTGAGATGGGCCCAAGAACAATACCTCCCCACGGAGCCCTAAATGCCTCTGAAGAGGCTCCAGGGAGTACATTAGCTTCTCGCAGCTCTCCCACAAAGCTTCCATCTCTTCTGGGTTTTGCAAAAATGCCTGGCTCGCCCACACCAGTTTCTTCAGTTTTTCCTAGAAAAACAAAAGGAACAAAAGATAAAGTAAAAAGATAAGAGTCAAGGTCGACTCAGCCTTCTGTCCTTCCGAGGTGGTAAAATGAGGACCCAGATTGTTGAGGGGGTAAGAGGCGACTCTGTAAACCACTTAGAGAGGGCTGTAAAGCACTGTGAAGTGGTATATAAGTCTAAGGGCTATTGCTATTGCAATAGAATAGATTAGAATAGAATTCAATTCAATTCTTTATTGGCTATTTGTGATTGGACACACAAGGAATTTGTCTTTAGTGCTGATGCTTTCAGTGTACATAAGGAGAATAAAATACAGTCATATGTATTGAGTAGAGTAAAAAGATACCACACTTAGAGATAGTCATAGGTTACTAATAAGCAATCAAATTATACTAGGAAACAAGTAAAACAATATAAATTTTAAAGATAGAAACAACATGGCTATAGTCATAAGTGGGAAGAAAGAGGTACTAGGAAGGAAGAGAAGAATAATAGTAATATAGTCTTAGTAGATAATTTGACAGTGTTGTGGGGATTAGTTGTTTAGCAAGAGTGATGGCATTCAGGGATATAACTGTTCTTGTGTCTAGTTGTTCTGGTGTGCAGTGCTAAAAACAACAACAATAACAACAACAACAATAAAAAAACATAAAATATTATTACAAATAATAAAATATTATTACAAATAATAAAATATTATTACAAATAATAAAATAGTATTACAAATAATAAAATAGTATTACAAATAATAAAATAGTATAACATAATAATGTATTATAAAAATAATAAAAATATTATTGCTAAAAATCCAAATGAAAAGAATCAAAATAAATAGGAAAAGAGTGAAAAAGGAAGTTAAAAACAAAAGAAAAATAAAATAAAATTGAAACTAGAGCAAAACGAAAACAAAGGAACTCAAACCAACAATGGGAAAAAATGAAATGAAATAGAAATAAAGATGAGGAAAGGAATAAGGAAAAGAAATAAAAAGGAAAATAAAACGAAAACTAAAAGAAAACCAAAATGACAACAAAAACTCAAACCAACAATGAACAAAAAATGAAATAAAATACCAATAAAGATGAGGAAAGGAACTATGAAAGAGAATAAAAATGAAAACTTAAAGAAAACCAAAGCAAGAAGAAAATAACGCAAAATTCATGAGGGAAAACCTGAAATAAAATAAAAATAAAGACGAGGAAAGAAATAATTAAAGGAAATAAAAATGAAAATAAAATGAAAACTAGAAGAAAGCTAAACTGAAAGTGAGGAAAAATATCAAAATAATATATATATATCAAGAAATCAAAGTAAACAGAAAAAAACAGGGGAGAGGAACAAAATAAAAATGAAAATAAAGAAATGGACCTGAGGGGAAAAAAATGACAATAAACATCAATGTAAAAATGTTCAAGTCCCAAGAAGGGGTGGAGCCACTGTCAAGACTCCGCCCCCTCCACCAACCCCTTCCCCAATGAGGCCCAAGGAGCTTTCCAATTGGCTGAAGGGCAGAAGTTAAAAAACTGATCCCACCCAATAGACTTCCGTTTGGCGCTTACCTTGGGAAGGCTGGGGACAAATTTGGTGTCACCGAAGGACTTGTAGTTGCCCATATTGGCGTAAATGGCCGCCGTGTAAACCAGAAGTGCCTACAAGGGAGAATTCCATTTTATTTGCCTTCATTTTTACAAAACCAGAGCTTAATCTTTTACAAAAGTGCTGTTCTGACCTAGGCTTCCCCAGCAGCACGGGTCCTCGTCCCGATAAACCCCTTTTATTTAATTTACAGTGAATTCCTCTCCCGCAAAGTCTTTCCTCTCCCACAGTCTTTCAAGATGGCTCACAATTACCGACCTTGATCAGGCTTGGAGAGTGGCCAGGCCGATATCTTTCAGACGCTGCAAGAACGCAGGAATGAACTAATTGCCTCCTGCAAACTCCACTCCCCTTGTGCTCCTCTTTTATTTCCTCTGGGAGGGGCCATTCACCGTCCACCTGTGGCCTTACTTCCTGTTCTTTAGCTGTTCCCTTCCTCGGGCAACTCTGCACATGCTCACACTGGGAACAGGCTCCAGCTGTTCTTCTGCCTCACTGATGTCTGACTCTGAAGGCAGCGGATAACTGTCAGACGGCCCTGGCCCCTTCTCTGCCTCCGACACAGAGACCTCCTCAGAGCCTTCCCCAGACTCCAGGACTGGCCCAGGTTCCTCCCCAACCCTCCTCACTGCCCGAATCTGCTACCAGGCCATAACAAGTGTGGTCAACAGACAGCAGGAAAAGAAAGAAAAACAATCTCCTCAGTACTTCACCACAAAATTGTGTCCAGCACTCTTCAGTATCTCTTCATAAATGATTTAGATGAGGGGACGGAAGGGAAATTCATCAAATTTCCAGATGACAACTAAGCTGGCAGGAATAACCAACGCCTCAGAAGACAAATTCAGGATCCAAAAGGATCTTGACAAAACTTGAACAACGGGCTCTATCCAATCAAATGAAATTTAACGGGGAGAAAAAGAAGATTTTCGATTTAGGCAAGAAAAACCAAAAGAACAAGTACAGCGAAGGCAAAGACTCTCTCAAAAACAGTAATTGTGAGCGGGATCTTGGAATCCTAGTTGGACAATCACTTAAATATGAGCCAGCCGTGCGCAGCCGCCACCAAAAAAAGCCAATACGATCCTTGGTTGCACGAACAGAGGCGTAGAATCAGATTGTGGCAGTACCGTTTTATTAAAACGTAGTAAGGCCACACCTGGAATACGGCATCCAGGTTTGGTCACCGCATTACAAAAAAGAAGTTGAGACTTGGGGGGGAAAGTGCAAAGAAGAGCAATGAAGATGATTAATGATCTGGAGACAAAACCTATGAAGGATGGTTACAGGATTTGGGTTTGGCTAGTATAAAGAAAAAAAGGACTAAGGATAACATGGCCGCAGTATTTCAGTATTTGAGGAGTTGCCACAAAGAGGAAGGGGTCAAATTATTCTCCAAAGCACCAGAAGGCAAGATAAGAAACAACGGATGGAAACTAATCAAGGAGAGAAGCAACCTAGAAAATAAGGAGAAATTTCCTGATAGTGAGGACAATTAACCAGTGGAACTGCTTGCCTCCAGAAGCTGTTGATGCTCCATCACTGAAGGTTTTTAAGAAGAGATTGGACAGTCACTTGTCTGAAATAGTATAGGGTCTCCTGCTTGAGCAGGGGGTTGGACTAGAGGACCTCCAAGGCCCCTTCCAGGTCTATTCCGATTGACTGACTTGATTAAGAGTGAGAACAATTAACCAGTGGAACGGCTTGCCGCCAGAAGTTGTGGGTCTCCGTCACTGGAGGCTTTTAAGAAGAGATTGGACAGTCACTTGTCTGAGATGGTACAGGGTCTCCTGCTTGAGCAGGGGGTTGGACTAGAGGACCTCCAAGGCCCCACCCGGCTCCATTCCGATTGATCGATTACCTGATATTCTTCATCCGTGACGCCGAGCGAACGGGCCACCTCTTGTAACTGATTCGGGTCCTGAGTTCGGAAGATGCGGGAGAGGAGGACGTAAATGGTGGGAGATTCCGGGGACGTTTGTAACAGGACCACCAGTCCCCCATACCAGCAAGCGCGTGACAAGTAGTGAGCGTAAAATTTCTCTTCCGCGGACAACAGCTCAAAAGCTTCGGCACAATCCAACGTCGCGATCCCAATGTCGTTGGGTAAAACATAATGGGAGTCCACCATGATGCCAACCTGGACAAGGGAGAAACTGAGATTTGATACTCATGGTATGTACTTTGTTATAAAAAAATATCTTTATTATAAAGAGAGACAGTTTGGACTAGTGGTTAAGGCGCCAGGTTGGAACTGGGAGATGGTGAGTTCTAGTCTCCCTTTAGGCATGAAAACCGGATGGGTGACTTTGAGCCAATCCCCAGGAGATGGTGAGTTCTAGTCCTGGTTTAGGCATTGAAAACCAGCTGGGTGATCTTAGGCCAGTCCCTCCCTCCAATCCATTCCACCTCACAGGGTTGTTGTGGGGGGAAAAACAGGAAGAGGCGAATGCCTTGGATATGTTCACCGCCTGGAATTATTTATTAATAAAATAAAAGTCAGGATACAAATCTATAAATAAAGGACGGGGAAGGGAGGAAGGAGAAATAGGAAGAGAGCAATAAGGAAAACTAAAAAGGAAGGAAGGAAGGAAGGAAGGAAGGAAGGATAGGAAGGGAGCAATAAAAGGAAAGCTAGGGAAGGAAGGAGAAATAGGAAGAGAGCAATAAGGAAAACTAAAAAGGAAGGAAGGAAGGAAGGAAGGAAGGATAGGAAGGGAGCAATAAAAGGAAAGCTAGGGAAGGAAGGAGAAATAGGAAGAGAGCAATAAGGAAAACTAAAAAGGAAGGAAGGAAGGAAGGAAGGAAGGATAGGAAGGGAGCAATAAAAGGAAAGCTAGGGAAGGAAGGAGAAATAGGAAGAGAGC